AGCGGATTCGGGCGTACGCGGGCCAGATCGTTACGTTTGAAAAATGAAACCAATTTGCGCGAGCGCGTGGAATGCATTGAGATGCGACGGAATTGATTGAGGGAATTCGTTAATTCGTTTTCAGATGAACACGCGAATCGAACGCTTGTCTCCGGAGATTCTTTGTTCTTAACACTTTCACGTCCGCACGGTTCGCAAACATTTTCTTCTCTGTCGCCGGAACTTTTGGCAAAGTTGATCATTAAAATATACAAATATAAAATATAAAATTCATTGCAACATAACAAACTTAGCTGCTTTTTATAGAATAATAATTAAATTAAATATTAACCTTTTGCACTCGAGAATATTTTTCTCAACAAATATTCATTATTCTCTGATAAGATATCAATGATACTTTTCACAACTGACATAAAGAAGTACCTTGTATAAATTAAGTAACAAAACTATTTTATTTCGATGTTCCATGTATAGATACACTATATAAAATTTAGTATTGAATCTGAAATAGAAATCATTTTATTGAGTCGAATCCAGTGGCGACTGAAAGGCGCCTCTCGAGTGCAAAGGGTTAATAATTAAATAATACGTGTAATTTCCAATAGCACCACACTGAGGTCTCCGCAAATAATAAACGGAATGCAAATGGCACCACGTTGGTGTCACCGGACGTGAAAGTATTAAGATGAAATGAACCGTGTCTCTTTTCGACGGTTTCGACCGTTCTTTCCTCGTTCTTTCGTTTAAAGAGTTTTTCGTTCTCGCGGAAGTGTAAGTCGTTCGTAAATATTTCACCGAGACCGCTCTCGTAAATATTTAACGGATTTCAGAGCCGGCAGCGGGAACAGTTAATTAGTCCAATAAAAAGTGATTTATATTAGAAGTTTTCGTCGGTCGATTAACCATAAACTCGGATGTATTGAATTCGACATGTAGAAGATGTCATCAGGGATAAAATATTCCGTTCCATCTGTCAGCGACGCGAGATTTCCCGAATAATGTTTCACTGTTTTATTCACGTGATCGGAATCATTTTTTATGACGTTCCCTCGAATCGCAGGATCTGCAGCGGACTGATACGAACTCGTGCCCATACTCCCGAACGGAATTATACGAAAAATTGAATTCCTTCGATGATATCGGTGTCTACGTATATCTACGCTCGGCGAAAAGTTGAATAAATTTTTTAGCGGAGGAAATTCAATCTCATCCGTGGCAAGCTGACTCGTTGACGTGTTTTCAGTGGACACCCGCCTCTCGCGACTTTGCTGTTTAAACGGCTGATAAGGCGGCTCCGATAAGAATGATCAATAGATAAAAAGGTGTGTTTCCGAAAAAAAAACCGGTAGGAAAGTTTGCCGTTGCACCTACTGCAACTATGCGACGTTGATAAATCAGCGAGGCTCGCGACAACTTCGAGTTCTTTCTGATTATATAACAATTATCGCGTTAATCACTTATCATATAATAGTTCTGAAATATTTACTTTCTGATTATATAATAATTACCGCATTAATCACTTATTATATAATAATTCTGAAATATTTACTTTCTGATTATATAATAATTACCGCATTTATTACTTGTTTTATAATAGTTCTGAAATATTCTTTCCGATTCGAGAAATCGGTGACGAGTATAAAGGCGACGTGATTTGAGATGGCGCGAGGAAAGAGGGGGAAAAACAGACGGAGACATCAAGAATTCGTTGAACCGTGGACCGAAACCGAGGCCAAACTAGTTTTTCAGCCGGTCGATACTGGCATCGAACCCGAATTAGCTTCCGACCGTAATTCGCTTTCGTTTCGGTCAGTATGTAGAACAGTAGGCGCCGTTACGGCTCCGTTTTCTTGGGTGCTGTCAGAGGCGTGCCAAACCCGCATAGACCATAAATTCCGTCGCGGCTGGGGTCTCCTCGGTCGCCCTTACGTGTCAGTAAACAACCGGAGTCCCGAGACGTCAGACTTTCTTCCCGATCGGACGTCAAAAGACTTGTTATCTACAACTTCGATGAACTCGTTCGTCAACACAAACAACTGTGTACTATTTTCAATCATTCTCCTGTCAAACTGAAGTTTTACGTGCTCGAGCAAAGATAAATTGATCGAGACAACATTTTCTTGTGTACTTGTAACATCAAATATAGATTTATAATAAATATAGTAATTCTATAAATAACACAGCAAGGAGAATTAATTTTTTAGTTAAGTGACATTTTTCTTCGTAAACGAGTCAGTCGAATAACAAGCTTTGCAAGCTGTTGTAAGCTGTAAAGCACCTTAAATAGTGATTCTCTGAAGAGAGTATAATACTTCCCGTCTGATACGGATGAATCTCGATAATTTTCCTCTCTAACAAAAGCTGGATTAACTTCGTTCTACTAATCGATTGTAATTTTATTTTCAGCTCGATCTACTGTGAGGGTCTATTGTTGAAAACGGTGCAGCTCTCCGGTATCTATTCTGATAGCAAATTCTTCGTGGATCTCCACCAGCTACAGGATCCTAATGTGACACTTGCCAAGTAAGTATCAATCTATCATCTTCGAAAGTCGTTACATTACAATCATTACGCTAAATGATCCCCGACTTCTCACTAACGTTGTACATTTACAATTCGCCTCGGATAACAAGTTTGGTACTGAAAGCTTCAGTGTTAGATGTTAACACATTGTACGGCTAAATTTCAACAATTAAAAACGCAAGCGTCGTTAATTATATTGACATATTTTTGAACATCAATCAAACCGACGTTTGTAACTTACGAAAAAGAATAAGAAACTCGATGTTATAATTTTACTTTGGATTTGTGTCATACATATCTAAAATGTTAGATCAACTCTTTGCACTCGAGAGGTGACTCTCACTTGATTTGACACAGTAAAACTGTAGAATGTGATACTTAATGTTAAACTTCGTATAATGCCTCGATACGTAAACCATTGTAATAAAACAGCATTGTTCCTCAATGTACTGATTTCTCTTCGAATTAGTCTCGAAGAACATCGTCTTCGCCTCGTAAAGAAAATATTTATAAATATAAATAAATATTGTTAAATATTTCTAGTAAGAAACATCCGAGTGCAAAGGGTTAATACGTAAACGATTAAAAACCAGTAACAATTAATACTTTCACACTACAAGCTAATGATTGTGAAACTCCAATGGTCGTCATGAGAGCATTGCAGGTCGCTTAATCCGAGACCTCCCATAAAATGGCGACCAATCCCGCATTATTGCGGGGCCGATGCGCTGCGTTAAGGTTCGCGGAAATGCGACTAGCTTTTGCCCGCGTTCTTCCCCGGGCTCCGTGTTTTCAGCGTCGAAGCTTTCACGTGAAAGCAGCGAGCTTTCGGTAAAAATTATCCCGACATCTCGCTAACGTGGAAATAACCTAGCTTCCGCCGGTCGCCGGGATCGCACGTGGAAGCTCTAAATCTCCTCCCTCGTTCCTATTTACTCCGTGGCTATTGCGCTGGCGCGCGGTGGCCGCGGCTACGATATTATTTCCGTCGTTTCCGTTTTCACGCAACACCGGAAACCGTCGTCCCGCTAAGAACAGCTGGACTTTACGATCGCCGGGAAACGAAATCACGATCGGCCGCGCTCGCCTTTGAACCGAGCCACGCGAATGCCACCAGTTACCTCGCAAATCACCGGATCGACGTTTCCCCTGTGTTTCGATTTATCTGGGAAACGGATGGGAAATTAACGAGCTAATAATCGCGGAGTTTTCACGTTGATTCATCTTCGAGGACAGATTTATGGGGACATTAAGGTGGTCTTCGCGGGAACTGTCCAACTCCTGGAAACGAATGGAGTTTATTGTGCGATAAAACACGAATTAGTAGGTTCTCGGAGGTAATTAGCGATACAGTTTCGTGCTCTATCTAGCGAGGGACTTACGAAGTTGACATTGTAATCTCTTCGCGATTCTATTCGGTTTCACTCGAAAGTTTAGATGGAAATTTCTTGTTCGAACATCTAAGTAGATTTTCTGGTTAAACTGATTAAGCGTCTGATTCTATAATTTCTGGTAATGGTTTCTTATTTAAATCAATTTCGAGGAAAAGCATTTCAACGGCGCAGTATCTGCACTGAAAAAGTAATTCTACGCTCAATTCTTCTTCGATAACTGCATTACACGGTTATAAGCATCCACATCGTCCAAACATTAAAAAAGAAGCCATTAAAATTGAATGCCAGTTTCCTTCGTTTTCAATCAACGGGAACCATTCACGGAGTAAATGGAATTTCGTTTAATTCTAATTCCTTCGAATTTACTTTAGAAATTGCGAGTTCGCGCGGACCTCGGCGATCCAGCAATAACTCCAGACAAAAATGCAGCTCGCTGACGCAACAATTATATAGCGCGAGCTCGTTCGCTCGGTTAAACGTCCATCAACGAGTAACCGCGTCGTCGTTCCTGCCGCCATTGTTACGCTGCCGATCGGTAATGCCCGTAAAAATCTAGCGGTGACTATCCGATGAAAGCTAAGCCCGCCAGACGAGCGAATTTGTAACGGGTTCACGCGCGAGCTGCGGGATTGACGATTGTTCCGCGATAATAGCATTGTTTCGCTCGATGCGCGGCTCGTAATGGCGGCCGATATAAAGTAATCGACTGGCGAATCGTTTCGTATACCGCTGTGAAAATCAGTCCCGAGTTTCGAAGACTCGAGCCTTGTGGAACTGTAAGCCTTCGAAAGATCTGCCTTCGGAGAACAGTAAGCTCTCGGGACTCCGGTTTTTAGGTTGAACCTTGAAACTTTGAAGATCCCGGCTCTTCGCAGCACTAGTTTCGCGCGAAACGTCGGATTTCGGCCGTGGTTTATTCGCATTCGAGGGAATTCACGGGGTTGATGAGGTTCTCCGGCGGTGGACCAATTGTCGGAATCGATTAATGTTCGCAACTGTTACGGAAAATTGTTCGGCGAACGTTCGTGTGTCTCCACTTCCGTCTGGCGACGGGACTGTCCCGCTAACGGGTCCGGATAATTAATTTGGCTAAGCAGTAATCAGGGGAAATCGTTCTTGCGGTTTTAAGCGTGCCGAGTAGTTGATTGTCACGTAATTCTAGCGACTTCGATTCCTTTCTAATGGGTTCTGTCGGAGTTGTTTGTTTAAGTATCTAATACGTGTATTATGTAGTTATAAATATTATGAGAAGCGTTAAATGATCGATGAATAATATTGTAAACAGCTTCGTGTTCCGATTAAAATACTTATTTAATATGCTTCGGGCGGGATGCACCGCAACTGTGTAATTTATCCGACTGGTTGAAAGATTAAATGCGAGTGGAATATACGGGATGATTTGACCGAATGTAATTTCAAGCTTATGAATTTTTAATAGGTTCCATACATCTTTGTCACGTCTGATGGGAATTTAATTCAAAGATAATATTTGATGCCGGAAAATTGTTCGAGCAGACCGATATGCAGCTGATGATGGACTAGAGGAATTAATATTCTTAAAAGTGAACGCTCGCGCGGGAACAGGTGCATCCTTCTAGAAAATTAAAACGTTGTATCACACTGCAACCTTGTCAATCCAGGAGAAATGATCTAGTTTCCATATTACACCAAATTCAATTGAAACATTAACCTTTTGTGGACGAAGATTCTTTGAAACATACGAAACCTTTAGCAGATGAGGTTAAATTATATATCGATTACTTAAATGATAGAAAAGAAATTATACACTGATCTTTGGCTGTTTTAGCAATTGAATCATTTGTTCGCGACTTACTCTTCCAAATATGGAAATTTGATCTCGTCGGAATGTCGACATTCGTCCGCAAAGGATTAACACTCACAGATGCTTTCAAATAAAGTAATCTTATCTAACAAGTTTCCATTAGTATCAAAAGTTACACTAAAGATACCACTAGTAGTTTCCCATAACCAGAAACCAATCATCCACAATATTAACCCTTTGCACTCGAGAGGTGACTCTCGCTCACCACGTGATTCATACAGTAAAACTATAAAATTTGATGTTTAATATTATACTTCTGTAGTATCTAGAATATTTAGGGTAGATTAAAATATTGTAGGATGAATGGTTTGTTGTGCGTGCGTGAGGGCGACCAGGTCATATTGCGACGGACCGGCGCCGAGATGTTTGGAAAATAGTGTGACTGCGTTTAGACAATCTCGAGTGGCTGAAAGAATGCGAGGAAGAGTGTCTGGAACTGAGCGACTGAACTGTGAGAAAAGCGTGTACGTGACTGCGTGAATTTGGACTATGGACGAAAGATGCGAGTGAGAAGGGTGCAAGGGTGAGAAAGACAGAGCGAATGGGGGTGTGTGTTAAAAGCGAGTGGAAATGCGTGCATGCGGACATTTTGGTGAGCGACAGCCGAGAGGAACATTTTTGGTGCGTGATAGAGAGTCGTGTGTTGTATTTTTACGTGTTGTCCGTATTGTTTCTTTATCTTATTAAATATATATTGTTTTCCTATTTCACTTCTTACTGAAGATCCACATTTTCAATATCATCTAATAGTAAACCACTATACTTCTTATAATGCATCAATTTTAGAAATATTGAAATAAAATAGCTTTGTTCGTCAATGTATGTGTGATTTCTCGTCGAGTTAGTTTCGCAAAATATCGTCTTTATCTCGTCAGAAAATGTTAAAATATTTCTAGAGAAAAACCTCCGAGTGCAAATGGTTAACAATCGATTCGCAGATCTTGAAAGCAGAAAAACAACGCACTTCCTTTCATTTCCAATTTCCGATGCACGCTTCCGCAGCCGATCAACCAGTCCGCTATTAATTAATTTAGCGAACGATGACTATTTGCATTCTGGCAGCTCGATATGCATCGCCGAGCGCCATGACCGAAACGTTCCGCCGTTTGATGTGTCATGATTGATTAATCGACTAATCGGGTCTGTTTGTGCTTTGTCAGCTTCTACGATCTGATGAACGCAACGAATGGCCACCCGAATCAGACCCAGGTAGCGAAGTTCGTCGACGAGAACTTCTCGTCCTCGAACGAGCTTGTGAATTGGACGTTGCCGGATTGGACGGACGAGCCGAAGATCTTGCGCGTCATCCAGGACCCGAATTATCGTGAATGGGTGAGGCATCTTAACACCATTTGGAAGTCTCTGGCCAGGAAGATCAGCGACGACGTGGCCAAGTATCCTCAGAGACACAGTTTGATTTACGTGAAGAACGGATTTATCATTCCTGGTGGTCGGTTCAAAGGTGAGAACTGTTACTTCTTAACCCTTTGCGGATGGATGTCGACATTACGGAGAGATCAGATGTTCATATTTGGAAAACTAAGTCGCGAACAAATGATTTAATTAGTGAAGCAGCAAGAGATCAGTAGTTTCCTGTTTTCCTGTTAATTAAATAATCGATATATAATTTCACTTCCTACTTCTTAATCCTTCGCGGACGGATGTCGACATTACAGAGAGATCGAATTTTCATAGTTGGAGCACTAAGTAACGAACAAATCATTTAGTTATTGAAACAGCAAGAGATTAATACGTAGTTTCCTTTTTCTTCATTGTTTAAGCAGTCGATATGTAATTCAGCTTCATCTGCTGAAGGTTTTGTATATTTCGAAGAACCTTCGTCCGCTAAGGGTTAAATCCTTCGTTTTTGACACTGGGATGCCTCGGAAAATACTAACAATTTTGATCCGATTCGAATAATATTCTTTATTAGCAAGTTTCTGTGCTGTTATTATTTCTAGCGAATGATGTATAGAATTGTAGACTTGATGATTATTATTAACCCTTTGCACTCGACAATATTTTTCATTACAAGCATTCATTATTTTCTGACGAAATATTAATATTATTTGCAACTTACATAAAGAAACATCTCGCATAAATTATGGGACAGAGTTGTTTCATTTCTGCTTCATTTGTTAATACCTGATTCAACATTCTATATTGAATGTTTCAGTTTACAATTTTGTTACTTTCAATCAAATGGCGACTGAATCGCCCCTCGAGTGCAAAGGGTTAATTATACAATTGTTAATTCATAAAGACATAAACGTGCGAACGTCCAGATATCGACGCAATACGAATTGTCGGGTGTAATTGAAATCCTGCTAGCGTTGCATCCCAGCCACAAAGGAAAGGACATTTCGTTACTTGTTTCCCTCCAACAGAGTTTTACTACTGGGACAGTTACTGGGTGATCGAGGGCCTGTTATTATCCGACATGTATCAAACTGCCAAAGGGATGATAGACAATTTCGTGTACATGGTGGAGAAATATGGATTCATACCGAACGGAGGCAGAATTTATTACCTCATGAGGAGTCAGCCGCCCCTGTTACATCTCATGGTACGTCGTACCTTTCTGATATATTAAATCCTCGCGACGCGTCTCGCAGTTATTTACGTCTGAACTCTGTGCACCACTTCACAAAGAAAATTCCCTGATAGCACAAACTACACTTGAAGCTTCATTGCCATCGAGACATGAGTCGCTCACAAGCTTCCTGATTTTGTACATTTTAATGGAATAAATAATATTCTTTTTAGTTATTCATGAGACTCATATAATATTAGAATCAATCGAAAGTATTTAAGAACTGTTATTCGTTCAGGATTAATTTATTGTCGAAGAAAATGAATGTCGAGAATCTCTACCCTTTTAGCCCCTTGCCTTACAACGTGTCAGACTCGTGAAGATTTTCAACATGATTTAACCCTTTGAACTCTGTAGGCTCCAATATTGCACCAGTTATAATATTAAATATTTTAATGAATCAAGGAAACTACCCTAAAATTATTCGATTTTCCACACATCCACATTTTGCACTAAGAAGGAAAATAAAAAATCTAAGAAATGTTATAGCATTTTTCATTTTCACTAGAGGTACCATAAAAATTAGCTACAGTTGCTGATCAATTATAAAACCATCTGGAGTGCTAAGGGTTAACAAACATGAATATTATTCAATTCATTCGAATTCAAAGTAAATTCAACCCTTCTGTAATCAATTATACTTAACAGCGAACATAAACACAGAATACATCTACTATTTTTCTCTTTTTCCAATAAATTATTAATGACAAAGTAACCGTATCGATCAGAGTTGAGAAAAAAATCATACGGCAAGGGGTTAATTTATATTTGTACACCTTTAAACAAACCTCAGACTTCGCTCGGCATTTTCAATCGATCAACACTTCACTATAGAAAGAAAATTGTATTCGGTGATAAACATTCCTATAATAATCGATTTAATCCAGAGAAAAACGCTTTTCTTTCGAGTACTTTATAACACTGTTATCGTAAGCTGACTTCAGTTCTCATCCCTTAAGCATTTCAATTCGCTACTGTTCGCTAAGTGAATTACTGAAGTCCGAGGGATAGATAGTCCCGTAATCGAATGAAATAATGACGGGATCGATCTGGAATTCCTAAATAACTTCGTTCAGTTACAATTCCATTTATTAGCCGTGTCCCCAGGAAGTTCGACGGCTCGGAATATGTTTCGTCGAGCTGCTTCGCGAACCTATACCGACCGGTTACTGCGATACTCAGTGATTTCCGACGAGTGTACACCGGTGACCCACGAACGCGGCGAAATTTTCGATTTCGAGGATTTCCAGTCGGAATTTCCGCGGTCTGTTAGCCTCCATTCGAACGTACGGTCGTCAAAGTTCTCGCGTTTCCTTCTTGCGAAGGTCCGGCGCGGTTTCTTCCGGTTGTAGAAGACTTCCGCGCGATTTGTCAACGTGTCCGACGGTCGGAAAATGTTCGTAACCTGCGCGAGAAATGGATATACCCCGGAGTAGCCGGGAAAACGCAGTTAACGCAGGTCCGCGCGAGGAAATGCATCAATTTCGAGGTTAAAAGGTTCCGCTTTGATGGCGAACGAGCCACTCCGTATTTTTTAGGCAGCTTGTGCAATCGATCTAGGAGAAACAGATCGATGTTTCGAATTCTGTTTTCTTTACGTTTCGTGGATTGATCGTATCGCTGAATATATGATTTCTATTATTTTTCCTGAGGAATTTAGACTGTTTCACTGGTGAATGAGTATTAGAATCAATTAGTAGTCGCAGGGGAAAATGGGAGAAAATGGGTGATCGAAGATTATAATCTTAATACAGTATTTCCGACTGAATCATTGGTTTATCAGATATTTCACAAGTGCTTCGTTGTCGAAAATGATAATACTAATTGACCACTTACTTGAATTATCGCGAGGTCACGAATTATGCGCATTTGTAGCGGATGCAAACGAGTGAAATTTAAATTAACCATATCGAACGATGAATATTCAGCTCCGAATATGTCTGCAACATTGCGTGTTTATACAAATCCATTATCTTCTCGCAAAATCCTCTTCCGCCTCCTTGAGCTTCAATAACATCTACGAATATCGGTCGATCTGCAATTAAATGAACCGACATGCGCGCGAATGTTACCGCGGAGACTCCAGGGAAAATTGGCAGTTCCTCGAAACGAAAGTTTCAATACGATTTCGATTCCTCGTTCGAATAAATCCCGGAGTCGAGCGGAGATCGTTAACACGAGAACTACCGAGCATTTAGTACGATTAATATGCAATTTCTATAAAAATTGTAACAATAGATTATTTTCAGTTTCTTTGGGCATTCATTATAGTACTCCAGTGGAACTATTTATTTTCAAAATCATTTCGAATATTCAATGCTTCGAAGATATCAATAATTGCTAAACAAAAAATTAGAAACCAGTCATTCTGACTGGTACGATAGTTCTAGTGTTAAACTAAACGCAATGTTTCTATATTCTAAATACTTATGAATTCACACAATTTGAGAATATAATGACTGCGTCGGCAAGGGTTGAACGAGTGAATACGATACTTTCATTCGATTATACGCATTCGTTACGATTGCGTTAATAGATTATTTTCAGTTCCTTTAGACATTCATTATAGCACTCTAGTGGAACTATTCATTTCCAAAATCATTTCGAATATTCAATGCTTCGAAGATATCAATAACTAAACAAAAAATCGAAACCAGTCATTCTGACTGGTACGGTAGTTCTAGTGTTAACGGTTACGAATTCTCTGCGCGCGCTGGATCCGAAGCGTATTTTCCGCGGCACGCGAAAATCTCGGTTATCCCGAAAATGCTTCCGTGACTGTCATGAATATACAGAGCGCGCGGCGACGCCGGCAGCCGAGTCCTTTGATTTGTCAAAGAATAATCTGGAATCCTCGCGTGGCTCCGCTGTTGCTACCTTGCAGCCGTAAATCGCATTTCAAAAGTTTCTTCTCTTTGTATCACGACTCCCGTTTCCGCTTCTGGTCCGGGGCCGAGAGTCGATCGGGAGAAAGGAAATATTCCGAGGGGATCCTCGTAGAAGCTATTTATTTCCGCGTCGAAACGGGACGCGGGATCGAACCCGCCGGCTGGAAACCGAGTCACGAAAACAAATTGATGATTTTATTGAATTCCTGGTTGTCTCCATCGGCTCTGACCATATTTCCGACGATTACTTTCTTTGAAGTTGAGTGGCTTGTTCTGTTGATCCTTCGAAGAGACAGTTTGTCGCGTGGAAGATCGTTTTCTCGATTTAATACGGGTCAAAGGTGACATCGAAGTTTTAGAGGATTCGGTAGACACTTTTTGGAAGACACTTCCGTGGTATTTTGAGTATTAAGTGATCAATGACCATTTTATTCCAGTTTCCTTCTGCATTGCCGAATTTTGGCGCAATATAAAATTGCTGACTATCGCGGCAGCCGAACAGTGAACCCTTGCTTCGTTGAGATTCAGATTTATTCGAATTTCCATTTCTCGTGTGCCACTGAAAGATCTTCCCATGAATCTTTCCATTGTCGTGTTCCTCCAAATTCATCACTTACGCTTCTCTGCATACACGGAGTAACTCTTGAAGTGTTCTTCTGTTGGAGATACAATATTTGTACACAAATATTGTGATCACTTGACTACATAAATGACGAAGAATGAAGGCGAAGACTATAAAGCGGGACTCTGAGAACGCGGCGATGGTGAAAGGCTCCATAAAATGGAAACGAACGTGTTCGATTTATGCGGAAGCATCAGCGTCAGAACCTTTCGTTCTACATTTTTCAAAAGTCCGATACTCGAACGGCCACTTGCCGATGCAACGAGCCCTTTAATGCGTCCCCTATAAGAACGCTCGTTCCGCGACCCCCGTCGTATTCGTTTATTCCAAGATTATCGGAATCTCGAGACGCTCGACCGAAAACATGGCGGATTCAGCGGTGGGCGAAACTTGTTCAGAAAACCAATAGAGAATGCCGAGTCAACTCCATCCGACTGTTATTTGCGAATAAGGAATTAATTAATATATTCATCATTCGCAAATGAATGAAATTTACTTGTCATTTTTCATTTGTTACGTGACTTTCTGTAGAATATATCTTTCAACGTAATTACTTTAAATCTTATAATTATAAGAGAAAAGTCAGAGTAAACTGTCAATTTTTGTTGTATCTCAGTGAAATATCTCTACAATTGCCCTGCTATTAACGCTTTGCACTCAAGAACATTTTTCTCAACAAATATTCATTATATTTTTTACAACTAACATAATGAAATACTCTGCATAAATTGAGTAACAGAACTATTTTACTTCGACGTTCCATATGTTAATACATTAACCCTTTGCACTCGAGAGGTGACTCTCACTCACCACTTGACTTCATACAGTAAAATTATAAAATTTGATATTTAATACTATACCTCGTACAATGCATCAATTTGTGAAATATTGAAATAAAATAGCTTTTTTCCTCAATGTGCGTATAATTTCTCTTCGAGTTAGTTTCACAAAATATCGTTTTTATCTCATCAGAATATGTTCAAATATTTCTAGTAGAAAACTCCCGAGTTGAAAGGATTAAATAAAATTTAATATTGAATTTTAAATTTTACCATTTCATTGGGTCAAAGCAAATGACTGAAAGGCGCCCGAGTGCAAAGGTTTAAACAAATTTGCCAGTGCTAATAACGAATGGCAAATAGTGAATCACGAACAACTCGAATAACAGATAACCGAATAACGATTAATCATTTATTCATGATCCTAGTTTAAGTAAGGTTCTACCCGAACAATGACCAACACTGCCAGACGTTCCGCGCTCGGTTGCATTATTCCAGTGGATTTGCAGGTCTCCAAGTACCTGGACTTCACGCATGACTACAACTACCTGCGATCAATCATATCCGTGCTGGAGGACGAATTCGCTTTCTGGCAGAACGAGAAAATGGTGAACGTGAAGGTGAACGGGAAAACGTACAAGCTCGGCCATTACTTCGTTCGCAGCAATGGACCGAGACCGGAGAGTTACAAGTAATCCTTTGTTTTCATTGTTTTATGTATATTATATGGAAACACGAATGCATGAGCCAGGAATTTATGTTTCTCCCATTTCGAGAGTAATATTGCAGATGAAAAGTGGGTACTCCATGTTCTACTGATTTATGAATGCTAAAAGCGAATGGACAATGAGACATACGAGAAAATGCATAGAAAGGTGTATTCGGTACGACGAATGTTTTCTGTATTTTAAAATTATTCATTTCAAAATTCATTTGAATCGTTCCTTCGGAACGCTACGCCGAATAAGCGACTCCCGCGGCGAAACATCGTCGGATGATTTAACGTTTACCGCTGATTATCGTCGCGCTCGACCAATTCGAGTAATCGAAGTTCTACTACATTATCTCGTTTGACAAGCTAAGCGGTAAATAGAGTAGAATTTCACCTGAAGCGTTTCCTCGTATTTCCTTTGAGGTATATTAAGCACGCGGAAAAATAAACACGCAACAGTGCGCATATCGCTTCCAAACTTATTATATTTTTATTTTTTGAATGAAAATCACTTTCCATAGCAGAGAGTACGTAGCAACACGTAACCTTCAATTTTCGTTGTAAATTGTCGAATCTGGGGATTTCGTCCGCAGGCGGTCGCGGTGCGCGCCGCGCTTACATCGTCTTCATTTGCACGTTAATTACAACCGTCAAAGACGAACAGGGCATTGAAGTGCGGTCAACCGCGATGAAGTAAGTTGCGGTTGTAACGTTCACGCTGGACACGCGGACAAAATTTCGCCGGGCATTGTTCGCCGGAAATTCGCGTTCGGTCTCTTAACCGAAACTCCTTGGCAGCGTTAATACGCGACGCACGATTAAATGCACGCACGCGCACGTGCATTCGCCGGTTCACATCTACGAGCCGGTCCCGGAGGCGAGTTCGAATCCGTTCGCAATTAAATTTCATTCGGCCGTTATTTGCCCGTTCCTTTCATTTCGCGATGTTTTAGCGGCATTAAACCGCGGGAGTGCGGTCCGACACGGATTTCGAATGGAATTACATCGCACGAGAAATACCTCGTTACGCGATTAAACACGATTAACCGTCGTTTAGCGTGGAATGATATGAAATTACCAAATATCATAAACGCGCGCGCACACGCGCATGCCGCGTTCGATCGGCCGAGAACGTGATTTCGGCCCTGAACCGGTTTTCAGATCGGCTCGCGCATCTTTCTGCGACATTTGCATCGAGAAGCTTACAGGACCGCGCGGTTTAATCGCGGGAAATAATAGCCGTTGTCGGAATTGTTTGTGTGTTCGCGTATTTGTCACATCCGAACGCGCGGCGCACGATAAAATTAATATCGCAGCTGAATCCTTGGCAATTTTTATATTGCCTCGGACGCATCGATACTCCGCGCAGAGGGGAAAGGGACATTTAAATTTTCATGGAAACTCGATACGACCATCCACTCACGTGAATTATTTAACAAATGTTCATTCGCGTGTTTCGCGGAAATCTAGAGTTTAGCTGGGTTTAATATAATCTGTAATTAAACGTAGTTCAATGAAATCTAATCGAATCGTGATCTAATATCAGATTCGGATAAATTGTTTCATTAATATTCGTATTCGTTTGAAAATCTAAATTGTGGTGTAGAGGTGTCACGATTCAGCGAAGACTTTAGAACCTGTGAATGTTTATATCGATGCAATTTTTTTGTTTCGTGGAAATCTAGAGTTTAGCTGGGTTTAATGTAATCTGTAATTAAACGTAGTTCAATGAAATCTAATCGAATCGTGATCTAATATCAGATTCGGATAAATTGTTTTGTTAATATTCGTATTCGTTTGAAAATCTAAATTGTGGTGTAGAGGTGTCGCGATTCAGCGAAGATTTTGGAACCTGTGAATGTTTATATCGGTGCAATTTTTTGTATTGCAGGGAGGACTACAATTTGGCGCAACAAGTGCCCGCGGAGTCGCGGGAGTTCTTTTATAACAATATAAAAGCCTGCGCCGAAAGTGGCTGGGACTTTTCTTACAGATGGTCATACGGCAGTATCGAAAACGGAACAGCGGGTTTGCTGAACGTCTCGGCGGAGACTATTATACCTGTGGACCTGAACGCGATACTGCAACAAAACGCACGGCTCTTGAGCGAGTTTCATCAGATTCTCGGGAATTATAGGGTGAGTAACATCGGCGTACCTTTGAATTCTATGTACGTGCTGTGTTGCACTTCTGCACTGTTTAACCCTTAGCAGTCATATGTCGAGTCAGACTCGACATTCTATTTTATTGTAACCTCTACTTGTTTTAACAATTTTTTCTATATTTATTTGTAGTATCACAATTGTACCATTTAAAGGTAACATTCCAACGACTCCCAAATATTCTTGAATAAATGAATAGAGCGTCATATTAAGGATTAATCCTTTGCAGACGAAAATTCTCTGAAATATAGAAAACCCTCAACAGATGAAGCTAAATTATATATCAATTACCTGAACGATAGAAAAATAGGAAACTACTGAACTCTTGATGTTTCAGTAACTGAATCATTTGTTTGCTATTCACTGCCCCAAATATGAAAATTCGATCTCGCTGAAATGACATCCGTCCGCAAAGGGTTAATACTAAAGATTACTCACTTATTCATTAATTCAACGTAATTTCGTATCGATTTACTTTTCATTGACGAGACAATCGTGTACACGAACTTTCTTCTGAGTAATTCCCTTCAGAGTTCGAAACATAAAAGATTAAATTATAGATTGACTGAGGATAATTTCATTTCAAAAAGACATTTGTTCTTTACTGTATAGTTCGTTATTACAGTGATAGCATATAAACAATTTGAAGTTCAGTAAAATTATTTGATCATCCACTCTGGAAAATTCACGGTCTGCCCATAAATATTTACAAAATAATTTTTTTTTTCTTCACTGACACGGAAATCCCGTATCTTTGCCTAGGATTGTACATGACACTCATCTCACTAAACCATGAAATTTATAGATATCCTACCCAATTGGTTCCCCGTCTGAGTGGTTCCATTTAAAAGTTGAGTCTCGGGACAGTGATATACGAGCCAGGGTATCTGTAATTCAAACTTTATGAACCATCGATCCCATCGTGACGAATCTTGTCAAATGTAAAATTCCTGCATAAAACTTTTTCCTCTAGAAAATAGCTTTCTCCTCCGCGTGGCTGGCGTAGACATTATCAAGAATTGCATTCGGTGCAATGTCTCACGATCTTAAACCATTAACACTTTGTCATGTCACTCGAACTCGGATGAATTTCATGCGTAATTTTGAAGTTTCATTTCGTCGATGATAACTTGATCGGTACGTTTTCAATCAATTATCGATAGAAACAAATCATCCTATAAGTAACGCTGTTACGAAAATAGCATTAAAAAAATTTTTTAAATATCATACAAAGCAATGATTAACCCTTTGCACTCGAGAGGTGACTCTCAGTCACTTGATTTGACACAGTAAAACTATAGAATGTGATATTTAATTTTAATTGGAATAAAACAGCTTTGTTCGTCGATGTACTGATTTCTCTCCGAATTAGTCTCAAAGAACATCGTCTTCGCTTCGTAAAGAAAATATTTAAAAATATAAATAAATGTTGTTAACTATTTCTAGTAAGAAACATCCGATTGCAAAAAACAGTAACTATTGATACTTTCACACTACAAGCTAATAATTGTGAAACTCCAATGGTCATCATGAGAGCATTGCAGGTCGCTTAATCTGAGACCTCCCATAAAATGGCGACCTCCCATTCCCTAGGATAAACGAAGGCACGCGAGCACGTGCAACAAATCGGAATAGCAAAAGATAAGCCCGGGCTGCTCGTCTGCCTTTAGAGCAGCCATTATGCCTAACGATCGCCGATTCTACATACATTCCTTCAACCGTTCGTAAAACTTTCGTTGCATGCCGCCTCGTGGAAAGGAACAATAAGCGAATCATGCGATTTCCTCGTTAGCGAAAACCTCGCTCGACTATGTAAAACCACTGTTCGAATACCTAAGGAAACGTTATCCGCCATTTTGGTACCGGCAGTCGCTTGAATTCCAGAAGAAAATGAAAATCTCCGATTTCTTTAACCCTTTGCGGACGAATGTTGACATTTCGGCGAGATGAAATGTTCATGTTTGGAAGACTAAGTTGCAGACAAGTGATTTAATTACTCGACAGTTAGAGTAATTAAATTATCAGCACGTAGTTTCCTTTTCTTCTATTGATTAAGCGATTGATAGATAATCTAGCTTCGTCTATTGAAGGTTTTATACATTAAAAACCTTCCTCCGCAAAGGGTTAAGTAATTCGCTGCTCGATAGTAAGATTCTAATGAAAATGACACTTTACGATTCCTTCGGAACACCGAGGGCTAAAATTCCTCTTTTGGACCCAAGGATTCATTCCCGTCGTTAATTCCCAGGATGTCGGCGTACAATTAAATGAAATGATATTTTATACAGATAAATTCTAAGCATATTTCGTACAGTATTTTAATGGAATTGGTACTTCAGAGGTTGATATCGTTCGTTCGATCGAAGCGCCCCATTTTCCGAATGAAACCTTCCCGTTGATTTCCAGAAAAGTGCATCTTACGAGAAAATAGCGGCGCAACTGCAGCTAGCGATCGACAACGTCCTGTGGAACGAGGAGGAGGGCGTTTGGTTGGACTACGATCTGAAGAACGGACGTCCCAGAAAGTCATTCTACCCGTCGAACCTCGCGCCGTTGTATACGATGAGCTACAATCCGCAGTTGCGCGAAAAGTACGCGCTGAAGGCCGTGGATTATCTAAGATCGCAAAAGATCGATGATTACTTCGGTGAGTGATTAATTATTAACGATAATGCCAGTTTTGTGACTCAGTTTTCGTTATACTGAGTAGTTCTTTTAACCCTTAGCACTTCAGATAGTTTTGTAATTTATAAATTACAAGAAAAAAGATTAGAAAAATTCTATAATATTTCTTAGATCCTTTACTTCCCTTCTTAGTGCAAAATTTTGATGTGTGGAAAATCAAATAATTGTAGGGTAGTTTCTTTAAGATTCATTAAAATATCTAATATTATTCCTGGTGCAATATTGAAGCCTACAGAGTTTAATGGGTTAATTGAGTCCTTCAGAGAACAATTTGGTTAAGTCCAGAAAAGAAGAATTGAGAAAGTTGATGCTCTGGCTTCTGAAATTATTATATAACATATTCGGAAAGTATAAAAGAAAGGGCTTTCTAACAGAACAAACGAAGAAACCAGGAAATCCTTTAGTAACTAAAAAAGCGTATTGTTTATCCCATTAAGATTTAGAAAAATCAGAAAATCGACTTATTCTTAGTTAATATTCTTTAAATTTTGAAATTCAAAGAAAGATTTAAAATCGGTAATAGAAGAATACCATTTGATTCGACCGCGAAAGAGTATAACCTGATTTACATTTCGTCTGTCAATTCAACGTTTACGTGATCGCCGCAGAAATCCGGGAGCAACGATAATTTTAACGACAGGAATTCAGGGCGAGTGTCCCGCTTGATTCGCATTTTAATTTCCACGCGTTTCGGCGCCTCCTCTTCGCCGGTTCGATTCAATTTAAACTTTCGTCAGACCCGAAGAAATCTCACGCCTCTCTCCCAGGAAGTTATTCCCATAAGAATGAAATCGAATGGAATCGAGATAAGAAACGAATGTTCACCTTTATATTCGTTCGGCTGCTCGAAAGAGCGTTTATCGGTGTCCGCGAATATGCGGCGAGCTACGTTACCTTTGGTCAACCGAAGATGCACCGGAGTATTAATAAATATCCAGTATTAACAATTCCATTCCCCTTTTACTAAATTCTCGGGTAATAAGTATTCAGGTTACGCGAAGGCTAATAATTCCAAAATCTTGACTCTATTCACAAATTATTACCATCGATATCATGATGGAATGAGACTAATTAAATGGTAACGAACGAGATCAATTCGAAAGATGCAATTATATCACAGCAATGAGATTAACGCGAGTCAAGCGATCAAAGAATCAAAATTTCTCGCAACGAAAGAAGATGTTCATTCTTCGCGAAGCTTCGAAGATCCATTCTTAAGATCCACGAGGATCCACGGTCTAATTATAATGCACGAGTCTTGTAAACGGAAGCCGAAAACCGGGAAGCGTCGTGACCCAGTTTTCCTTCCCCTTTCCGTTCTTCGCTCACGGAAACGCGCGCGTCTGGTAATAGTACATAGTAACAGCGAGAAAAAGCGCGCTGAGTCATTCGTCGCCATTGACCAGCGCACAGGTGCCGCGCGTGGGGTAGATCAGTGAAGCGACTCGCGAGAACGAAGACGCTCAGTGAAATACACCGAAATTATGCGCCGCATTAAGCGACGATATCTCGCCGACGAAAAATCATATCGGCGTGAAATACAAGCGGTTTCAACGGCCCCGATTTTCCGTTTCCGTTTACTTAATATCTGCGGGAACGGTTTTGAGAACGAAGCGGCGTGATTGTTGTACGAATAGCTTCCACGTGTCACTAGAAATAAGAAGAAGTTTCTTTAATCGAGATCTATAGATTATGAATTTAACAAACATAAATATTATTCAAATTGTTTGAATGCAAATTACATATTATCTCTCTGTTATCGATGATTACACCTTAGAGCACACGTTGACATAGAACAGCACCAGAACTTTTTCTTCTTATCGATAAATTATTAATAACAAAGTGGTTTGATCGTTCACAGTTCAGAAAGATATCGTAGGGCAAGGGGTTAAAGAAGTTAAAGGTGTTAGTTTGTACAAATAAGGGAAGCATACAGAAATCTGAATTATTTTTTAAGAGATGAATCAGTGAAACAGAAAGTGTTACTGAAATTTATTTATTTCTATGCGGTACGGAGCTTTGAACATTGAAGTAGATGAAAAAGTTTATTTCATATTGGATTTAGTAATGATTTCCGGTGTGTCTTATTTATCTACTTCAAAGTTGATTCTGAAAAATTAGTTATCAGTCCCGTTCGAAAATAATTGTTATCTTTCGGAAGTTTACAACCGTTCGTTGAACGTTTCTTTTCGCAGGTGGCACACCCGCCTCTCTAGATTACACGGGAGAACAATGGGACTTCCCCAATGCGTGGCCGCCATTGCAGTCGTTCATTGTGCAGGGTCTGTACTGGACTGGCGTGGAAGAAGCGGTAGACTTTTCTATGGAGCTGGCGGATAGATGGCTCGCATCGAATTATATCGGCTTCGTGGAGACTGGGGCCATGTTTGAGAAGGTACGTCATCTAAGAAGATATTGTTCATTTAAGGGATTCCCTTTGCAATAATATTTTCACCCATAAATAGGCTACGATTTCATTGGAACCAGATGCAGTAGCTATAACAGTAGATTTTATGCGTTTCTAACAAAGTGCATAGGACATAGACGAAAGAAATAGTATACAAGTTTCAGAATACTATTAGTTTGTTTTTAATTTACTACCAGTTTTAACCCTTTGCGCCCGAGAGGTGACCCTCAGTCACTTGATTTGATGCAGGGAAACTGTGAAGTTGATTATTTAGTACTTTAAATTAAACTTTGTATTCCTATGTGAAATATTTAAATAAAATAGCTTCGTTGCTCAATTTATCTGTGATTTATCGTTAGATTAGTTTCGGACAATGTCGTCTATATCTCTTCGGAAAATCTTGAATATTTCCAGTGAAAAACTTTCGAGTGCAAAGGGTTAAAAGAAAGAATTCGTTATTATTGTAATCCTTGTTTCTTCATGTCACTTCTGCGAAGTTTCTATTCTGCATGAAAATCTGTTTGCATAAAAATGTCTACAAGACCGAAGAATTCAAAGGCAGTCGGATACAGGTTGACCGGGACACCGAGCAAAGGTAGAAGGAAGCACAAAGGTGGCACTCGCCTTGTAGAATCTATAACGCACATTTTCTCAATTTTTTCGAACATTCTGTGAAATCTTTTCCTAGCTTCTTCCTTTTTATATCTACGAAGAAACGGCTGCCGTGAGCAAACAGAATTTATATACTTCCCAAACAACGTGAAAGCTTTAGAAACTATTTCCTTAGGATCGTGTATCGATAGCAAGGAAAAGTTGAAAGCTGTCGAGAAGCACGCTCGACATAAATCCTTAGTTAATTCATCGTTTCCCGTACTCTTACTTTTCGCAGCAGTCTATTCGTATTTTCTCTGACGCGTATCGTGAAAGATAACCATAATTTATTCGATTCATCACACGAAATCATATTTCCAGTAACTCGACCATTACACTTGTCGAAGACTCAATCAAATTTTCGAACCGCACAGGAATACACCAAATTTCTATAGTGTGACTATTGTATAGATAATGAAAGAGTGGATCTTGTGTAATCGAGAACTAGGAATAAATATATGTATTTAACCCTTTGCACTTGAGAGGCGTCTTACAGTCGCCACCTGATTCGACGCAGCGAACTTATAAAATTTTCAATTCAATATTAAACCTTGTGTACTGTGTCAACACATAAAACATCGAAGTAAAATAGTTCTGTTTCTTAATTTATAGAAGATTGTGTTAGTTGCGAAAAATATCGTTAATACTTAGTCAGAAAGTAATGAATATATTTAATGAAAAATATTATTGAGTGCAAAGGGTTAATAAAATATGGAAACAAGACGGACAACACGTAAAAAGTACAACTTCATGCCACGGAGGCCAACACACGACTCTGCTCTCGCCACTCTCTCACAGGCATTGTCTCCCAAAAGTCATTCTCTCCCCCACAAGCATTCTTCTCACTCGCAGTCATCACAAACACTCGGATGCACCCCTGGAAAGCTGGCCCTGCGATCTTGGGTCCGCGACGTTGTGCAGGCCACTTTCCCTCGACCGTTTTACAGCCTGTCCTTCACTCACGCTCATTCTTACATTCACTCTTCTTAAAAATACCTTAACCTACGCTAAAAATTCTAGATAAAGGCGTTTATTTCTCAAAGAATGTTCCCCCGGTCTTACAATGTTCGACCGGAGTAAAAGGTTAATAGTGTAAGTAGATTAATGGTAAGCAAGAAAGTCATAAAGTAAAATCAGTTATATTGGCAGCCAGGTATTGTAAGATCAGGTTATCTATTGCTCATTAGTTAAAAGAGAAAAAGAAGAAATAAAAGATGAAATAAAAACCAAGAAAGAGATGGCAAAATAAAAACGGATAAGAAGAATTAAAACCTGTGCCCCATCAATCTTATGATGTTAGTTATTAAGTTAGAAAGTTAGCAAGTCTAGTCAATATTAAAAGAATAAAACACAGTAAGTAGGCAGATAAAATTAATAGATAGATAGCTAGATAAGTCAATACGTGTTTAAAATAATAAATGGTTAGGTAGTTTAAGAAAAAATAAATAGATAGATACATAACAAAATAAATAAATAAATAAGATATATAGATCAACAAATAAGTAAAATAAATAAATCAATAAATAAATAAAATCAATAGATAAATCAGCAAATAAGTAATATAAATAAATCAATCAAATAAATAAAATAAATAAATCAATGACTAGTAAAAATCCGTTCTATCTAATTAAAATAAATTAAAATAAATGACTAGACAACAATAAGATATAATAAGGTCACATAGTTTTTAGTAAGATATTGTTTGTACTTACACTGCCCCGAAACAGAGAAGAGTTCTATGCCTATCATAATTTACATTTATTATGAAGCATTGCGATTAACCCTTAGCACTCCAGGTTGTTTTGTAATTTATCATTCTTACATTCACTCTTCTTCAAAATACATAGCATTTACAAGGCTTGCAAATGTTTATGTAAATACTCGCTCTACAGGATTGCAACTTTCGCACACAGGGTACTTTCGAGATCGTTCGTCCAAGAGAGTCGTCACTCTACATGCAAAAATAAATAGAGGGTGCAATGATAATTCTTAACGCGACATTTCGTTCCCGAAGCAGCGTATTTATCCTTCCACACAGAATTTTGAAAGTGCACCGTGTACAGTTGATATTTCATTACGGTAAATGTGTTCCTTACTTTGGAAGCATAACGGTTAATATACACGAGATTCGAAAGGCAGCGTCGAGGCAAAAGATTGTATAATTGGAAAACTGTTCACGTAAAAACGGCGCAGATAGACTCGTTTAAGCAATTCCCGGCGAGTTCGTTCCTCTACGGTGCATTTCCTAAGAGCGTCGTAAAAGCAACGAAGAAGTTGATCTGATACCGTTTCCAGCAGAAATAAAATTTTCGCATTTCGCTCCGGGAGACCTAATGATTCTTTTGCGCTATAAACCATGCGAGGGGCGGTTTTCGTGTTGTAAAGTTCGATGATATTTTTATTGCCTAAATTATGATCGGAATCGAAGGTCCATTGATGAAACCATTTTAGCTGGATGTTAAATTCATTTTATTGGCGTCGTGTACGAGTGTCGTCGTAAAATACAGATTCCTTATCTGACACAGTAGTATAGATCGATACTATTCTGACATATTATTCGAGTACATGGAAGTATTCTTGTAACACATTAATATTTATTCAACAAGTGATTTGGCTATCAAATGATAGTAACGACAAAGTAATTTCCACGTCTCGCAGTAGTATAGCTCAATAATAAGCTACTAACTTTTAAGCACCAAACTTCAATGCGAGTGAATTACGAAGTTCTTTGTATAAAAATTCCAATATCTATACAAAAGGAACTCTCACATCACTGACTATCACGAGAATAATTCCATTAAGCAACTCTTCTATAGAGAATCAGAAATAAACGAACTATTAATTTTTTCACAATATTATTCCAGTCAATCTTTCAAACTCCATTTAAATACGCTTCCGCTAATTCCCTTATTCAAAACCTGAACTGCCTTTCAGGCTCTATGCACACCGTGGAAATTCAATTACAATATCAAACTGGCCACTACACCGAACAATTCCCTCGGACAGCAAAATAACAGCAGCCCTGCTCCCGCAAGCTCCCTACTAACCCTAACAAATGGGCTCCGACTCGTCCAATTTTATTCCCGCTTGTGAACGAGGCTTTGGCCGCTGGCCACGTTGACTGACATATGTCCGCCCCGAGGGAAAGTAGTCCGCAAGATGGATGCGTAAATCCGCGTTAAAGTATTCCCCCTTGAGCTGGCCGAGGGTACCGGGGCAAGATTCGATCGAAATGGGGCGAATCAGTGCCGGCCATTTTTCATCCGTCTATGATTTTTCAACGGAACCGTTCGGTCCGGCACGATACGAGTGCCGATTCAAGTATTAACCTCTTAGGCACGGCTGAATTTTGCGCGGGACTGTTTCTCTGTACGGCAGAGTTCTGTACGGACAATGCTGGAATGAAGTTTTTGATGATTAAATTATAATTTTTCTGAAAGATATGATACACATAATTTAACTTTAATAATTTACTTTAATAATTAGTAATACAATTGGGTATGATCTATGATATATTGGTAGCGACGGAGCCACTATAGGTTAACCTTTTGCTAGAAATATTCAACGCTCTTTGATAAAATATAGACGGTGCTTGTTGCGACCAATGTAAATAATTTAGTCGATAAATTAGGGGACAAAGTAATTTACTATAACGCATCATTATGTGAAATATCAAAGCCTTTGTACTCGGGAGGTGACTCTCGCCACTTGGTTTGATACAGTAAAATTATAAAGTTTCATGTTTAATACTAAACTTTGTATAACTTTGATATTTCACATAATGATGCGTTATACAAAGTTTAGTATTAAACATGAAACTTTATAATTTTACTGTATCAAACTAAGTGGTGAGAGTCACCTCCCGAGTGCAAAGGGTTAAAGTATAGAAATATATTCCATTGCTTTAACAATAAATTCACGGCACCCGTCAATTTGACTGATACTGAATTTTTTAAACATTATTTAGTAACAGTTTCAGTCGATTTTAATTCGCGATTATGCGAATACGCCTTGCAATACTCTGGTTTTGAAGCTACGATTTCCGCGATTTATAGGCGAACACGTTTTCTAGGCACAATAGAATAAAGTGTAGAATAAACGTCCGTAATCTAGTGTTAAATTAATTCCATTCAGAAGAGCGTTCACGATGAAGCGTCGAGTAGAGTTATCAATTATTCAAGAGTGCTACTTTGTTCCGATCACCTTCGTAATGGCCCTAGAGAAATTAATTGGCGAAGTAAACACTGGCTTTACTGTTATGAAACATTCAAGAAACATGAACATTGATTCGAGCTATGGACTGAACAACTGAGATCACGCGATTATCTCAGCTCCAT